GCCTTATTCTTTTCTCCAGAGAGTGAAAATGTATTGTTGCAACATATAATATATTTCTTTGTTAAGATTTTGAGATTTATTTTAATAAATTGGCAATAATATTATTTAATATAAAATAAGTGAATTGTATTTGGAGAAATATAGAATTGGATAGCTTCTATTGTTCTTAACTCATATTAAATCATTTTTGTTTCCTATAGTTCCTATTGAAGATTTTAATTAAAAACCATTTTTCTCAAAATCTTTAATAGTTCTTTTTTTTATTAATAATTTGATTATCTTTTATTCTTTGATTACTATGATATTATATAATACAAATTGATTAATATATTATTTTGTTTAAAATAGAATGTATCATTGTTTACTTGTTTGCTTGTTTATTTGTTGTATTGTTTATGTTTGAATATATTGATCACAATCAAATCTGTTTTGTTTTGTTTTTTATTATGTATTATTGGTTATTTATTTATTTATTGTATTGTTTATGTCTGAATACATTAATCACAATTAAGTTTGTTTTGTTTTTCTTTATGTATTATTGTTTACTTGTTTATTTGTTGTGTTGTTCATGTCTGGACATATTGATTATAATCAAATTTGTCTTGTTTTTCGTCATATATTATTGCTATTTTGATTTATTTTTATATTGTTAATCAAATATATGAATTAATATTTTTGTATTTGATTTTTGTTTTCCTTAAATTTCTTGAATAAGAGAAATATATACATGTTTACATAAAGTAATGTGTTGTATTTATATGTTGTTATTAATATCTAGTATTCATTTAACTGTTGCTTTAAGTTTTCGATATTCTTTTGGATTTTGTAAACTTTGAGTTATAACTGGTTTACCAAAATAACTATTTTTTGCAAGGTTCTTTCTAATGTACATAAAGATATTTACTCTATACTAATGCAATATGTTTATATCCAATTTGTCATTCCTGACATTTTAAATAATTATGGATCATAAAAGTAGTTTAGATAGTGGCAAACTATAAAATCAACATTTGTTCAAACTCATACCCTTTCTCATATAAGAATATACAGTTATTCCTAGGTCTCTATACTAAAATCAATAAGACAACGGCCTTAATTTATTAAGACATAATATTAAAATTGTTAGACAGATCAACAATATAATAAATCTAACATAAATTCATGGAATGAGCATCACACAAAAATAGGGCAAGTTACTATTGGTCATATCCCATCTAATATATTAATTTCAAAGAAAACCTAGCCATAATGATTAATAATTTATTATTCCTTTTTAATCTTATATCTCTTTTTTGAATATTTAAAAATACAAACAATATAGATTTTATAAAAATAAGAAAAAATTATAGTAACAAAGAAACAATCAAAGAATAATATAATATCTTAGATAAGGATATAAATTATTTAAACCAGTGTCAATGTCATATTGAATCTTGTATCACAAGTAAATCCATTGAAATAATCAAATCAATATGGTACAAAAAATAATAGCTTGTTTTATCTCCTTAACAATCTATATGAAATTGATATTAAACTTATTCTCAAATCCATTAGCAATGAAACTATCTTAATTTATTTATAGCTATCAATTTCCTAAGCAAATGTACTTATAAATATTATGATAATCCAAAAAATTAATATAATTAAAGTAGAAAATAACAATAGTTTATAACTATTTTCTATACTTTTGAATCTCATTATGAACTTTGGATCATTTTGAATAATATAATTAAAAATATTACACATTATATCAATATAATATATTCATGTCCAAATTATTCAATACTGAATTTCTATTATACATTAACAAGAAAATTAAAGTTCAATATAGTCATATCATTGAAAGATTCTTAAACCTAGCAAAAACCAAAAACATCAATTTAATGGTTAATAAAATTGAAGGCAAGCTTATCTCATTGACCACCTCAATATATACAAGCTTATACTTCTAAAAACTTGTATAATTTTCTACTTAATCACTTATTAATAACAATATAGGACTCGATATTACATATTAAATAAAATTTGGCAACTTATATACCAAGCTATTTTCAATTATCTTAAAATAACAATTGTATCTATAAATCTGACAATATTTTTAACTTCTTGTGACTAAAGAAAACCAATAAAATTTGTTGGAAAATAAATTAATATAATTATAGAATCTTAATTATTTTTCAAACAAAGTTGCTGTTCAACTTATTACCAATAAGAGATAAACTTCACAAAAGATATTCAATATTATACAAAAATTCAAGATATCTTAGATATTATTATACAATAAAAGATCAGACTCACATCTTTAACTGTATCAAAAGTAGAAAGCTGATAAAAAAAAATTATTCAAATATAATAAAATATTAAAAAAATAAAATGAAAGTCAAATATAAACTGAGTTAGTTATAATAATATCTGAATTAACCAAAAGAGACATTCTATTCAATATAGTTATAAGAAAACTCAACCAGTATCCAGAATCATTATCCAATAAATAATTACAAATTCAACTGATGGATAATTTATTAAAATCCTTTATAAAATTTGGAAACAAAGACTATAGCCAACACTTCATCAATCAATGAAATCAAATAGAAAAATATAAAAGCAATATATAAACCCAGTCAAAGTAAAAATAATACAAACAATAATCATATTTTAAAAATAATTATTGAGTCATCTAATATACAGTATTAAATAATTCTACACACAAATCAATATTTCTATTCTCAATAATATCATTGTTTTTAAATGGGCATTAGATATTTGACCCTATTTTGGTGAACCTGGATACTATCTAATAGTGCAACACAATAGGAAAATTGCAATAGGCTATAGTTAATTTACCTATATAAAGACTATTAATGTCATGTTTAAGAATTAATTTCTAATAAAAACCTGCATTTAATGCTCATTTGTGATACAAAAAAAATATTTAAAATTATTAAAATATATATATTAAACTATTATAAATTATTACTAAAATTTTAAAACAAATACTATTTTATGTATATCTGCATATTATTTTACTTTAGTTATAAATTATTAATCCAAAATTTCACTCTTAAAATCAATAAGAATATTTTTTAAATACAATTAAGTTTGTTTATATTTATATAATAGACTTGTTATGAATAAGTTTAAATGCTAGTTTAATTTCTAAATTTAAAATTTTTAATTAAAAAATAAAATAAACTTAATAATAAGTAATTAATTATTATTTATTTAATAAAATCCGATTGAAATTTTTAACTTAATTATTTTTTTTAATATTTTAAAAAAACTTAGTGTCAATATTAGAAACAAAGAATTATATATTAGATGTAGTCAAAAATATTTCATATTTATAAAAATAATAAATATGATATTCGCGAGTAAATAAAAACAACGACTATCTATTTACTTATAATACTAAAACAATAGAATTCGAAAACTTAAGGATCCTAATAATCCAAATCAAATCAAATTTGTGCAAGTTTATGTGAATCTGATTTTTTTAAATCATTAAAGAAATTTATTAATCAATTTATCATGAGTTCGTTTCAATAAAATTATATTAGAATACAAAAAAATCTTCAAATAAATTCTATAAAAAGAATCTTTTTTCAACTTTTATATTACTAATAATTTCAAAATAATATTCGAATATTTTTTAAAAAATAAACAATAGTAACTGAAAAAAAAAAAAAAAATCTTATTTGTACCCTAATTTCACAGCAAGAAAACAAGTGATCCAAAATAACTTTATAAAAATAGTAAATAAACAATAGTAACTGAAAAAAAAAAAAATCTTATTTTTACCCTAATTTCATAGCAAGAAAACAAGTGATCAAAAATAACTTTATAAAAATAGTAAATAAACACAATTTTATATACTGTATATTGTTTAGAATTATATTTAATTTTTAATTTAGTTTTAAGAATAATTATTTATATGTTGTCACAGATTTTAACCGGAAGTCTGTCAAAGATGACCGAAAGGCTGCACAAACACAGACATCAACACAAAAGGTAGGTAACAATAGTTGGGCAAGTCAGGGTTTTCCTACTATCCAACACAAATAACTGAATAATTTTATTTCATGATAGATCACTTCGTTTTTACTGTACATTTTTACATGCACATATTGCATAAGATCTTACTTTTTTTAGGGGTATAATTATTAGTCGGCACTATCGCGATTGTCAATCACATCATCTGCTTTTTTTTTATCCTTTAACAATGCGTATAACAAAATTGTTAATTATCGAGTTTTCAAAAGTATAAAAATCACATTAAAACCTTGTCCACTTTAGCAATAACTCCAATATTTATGCCTTGATATTTATACATCAATATACGTACTTATTAAAAAAAAAAAATGATATAAAAACTTTAAATATTCGTCATAAAATTAAATTTCTAAAATGCCTATTAGCAAAGACACATTAATGTTACACGTGACCACTAAATATGAAATCTTTGGGTAGTGCGCAAATATGTAGTACGTACAGTATACGTATCGGTTTTGTAAATGACGGGTAATATACTATAAGTCTGAACAGACTGTAAGTTTGACAAAACGGTAGTTTACAATGCTGACTTAATAAAGTCGAAGTTTTAATCGAACAACAACTGCTGGAATTCAATTTCATACTTTTTGGATTCATAGAAATTAATTTCGAATGAATATTTGGAAAACGCGGGTTTACAACATTTATCCAAAAAATTACAAATCATTATGCAGTGTTTTACTCCAAATTAGTCGAATCATTGTAATAATTTCCTTAAATGGAACCAATGAATACCTTCCTTACATGCAAAAAATGCCGACTTTAACCCGATGGCGTGCATTCAGGGGTTTGAATTCATCCCGTTTCCTTTAAACCATTATAACATAACATAACCATATTTGATATTTTATACTTTGAGAATATTGATATTGTGAAAACCTTTTCAACTTTAATGCTTTCTCGAGAAAATATAAAATCCATTGACTATTCATTTATTAGGTGACTTAAAAATGGCTTTTTCCAGATCTTTCAACCTACGCATAGTATTCTTGACTTTAATCTTTTTGATTTTTATCCAAAAGAACTTTGCCGAAAATACCGAGACCTTTACTCAAACTTTTGCGCGCGAGAATAAAGAAATTGTTGATAAAATTCTTTGCAATTCTTATTTTAACGCAATATCAACTGGTAAAGCCACAAATGCCGAGTTCGAGCATGATATTATTCAAAATCATTACTTCACCATTCTTTGGGCAAGATCCTTAGGTTATGCCTTAACCAAAGCCCCTGCGCCAGTTCCAAAAGATTGGGGATTTGGTAACGTGACGCGAGAATTCTTTATAACATTTTTGTCCAGTTACTTGGACGTAATAGAAACTTATGGTAAAGTCTTGGAAGAACTCGCAGTAGCACACAATTTTAATATATACGGAGAATTGTATTCAGCTTTTTCCAGGACTGATGGAGAATACATGATTAAAGTTGCCAAGACCTTGCCTTTTGAGGCATGGATAGCCACAAATTGGGCATCGAATTATTTTTTTTATGAAGGCGTTTTGATCTCCCAAGCTTCCATAAAAAAGAACGGATACACTTATGAGTTTCAGGACTACATTGATGTGAGTACATCTTCCTTAGTTAAAAATGTAACCGAACAACTTGGATCTTTCGTAGACTTAATTTATAAATCAAAGAAAGCAGATAGAAAGCTAGCAACTAAAGTTATGACACAACAATTAAAGAATGATTTTGCGTATTATGAATCAGTTGCAACTGTTTGATTGCTTTTAATGATTCAAGAAATGCAATGGTCATTTATAGTCAATTATTTGCTTCAATAAAAATATACTTTCCAGAAAAACAGTTCTCTATTGATTAGAATAAAAGCAAGAATTGTTACCTTCTTTTCTAATTATAATATATATACAGTATATAAATCTATAATTCTCCATAAAATTCGTATACAGATCATAATCTTATCAAAATTAATGATGTAACGTGCTTGACCAACCCGTTTAGGGTTAAAATGATTACGTAATAAATACTGTAAGCAAATATCACGATGCTTTTCCTCCGACGCCGACTTTGTTTGCGAACGTGTAGCAATTTGAACACGTCTTGTATTCCCATCACGTGTTGGTGATGAGAATGCGGCAAAAACGTGCAATTGATTTATATACGGCTGCATACTCGCGTGAGTGATTTAAGCATGGCCGTGCACTTCCCACATGAGTATAAGAGTATTGGTCACGATATACTGTATTCTCCTAGTCACGGACAACACACATTTCTATTAGCATTTCTTTATCAACTTGATTGTTTGTGCTGATTGAGAACAATATGGTAATTATAATATGCATTATCAACACTCGGTTATATCTCAAAAGGAATGACCAATAATTTTTTATAATAAAACAACCTGATGTATTAAAAAATTTTTTTTTCTTTATAATCATGTCTTTCGTGAATGGGGAAAGATATGTACTGTATATTTATATTTTTTTTAAAAAAAGAATTGATGGGTCCAATATACCGAAATAAATGAAATTAAGATATTCGCTAAAATATTAATTGGTTAAATATCATTTATAAAAAATATTGACCCAATAATTATTTAAATAAAATAGACAAATAAAAGTGTCAAATTGAAAACAAAATATTTAATTCTATTATGGTTTTATAAAGTGTAAAGAATTTTTTTATTCTAACTCAATTTGTAAATTATAATGAATATTAGGTCATGAATCATGACCAAGTCTCCCATTGTCCGCAAAATACGTAAGCTAAGTTGCGCGCCGCAAAGCTAGACAATCAGTGTATAGAGTGAAAGTTTTAAAAGTATATTACATAAGATAGCATTAAGCATGTATTAAGTGACGTGTTTCGAAATGAGTAAATAAACTTGACTAAATCCGTTATTCCTTGCCTTATATACTTTATTGATTTTTTAATCTGCGATTTGTTGTATGATTGATTCGAGAGGTTATGCGAGCTGCATAGATTAACGACAGACTCTCCAATTATCCAGTGAAAATATCTAGAGAGATCAAATTAATTATTGAAACAATGTCAGGCAGTTGAATTTTTTGTGCATTAGCTTTGTACAACTTGGTGTATTACTCATTACAAATCAAGGTAGATAAAATAATTAAGTCAGTGAATACAAAAACCAGAAGAAACTGCAGATGAATACCTAAATGCAATTACATAAGTGCATTGATCGTGACAATAACTATTCTCTTGAGAATAAAATCAAGTAATTCAGTAATGGATTAAGAAATAAATTAAGGAAACCGGTTGAAATTTCTTGCTTTCTCGACATGGTTAAAGTTATCAACTATACTTGTGTTGTTGAATCAATCTAACCCAATGATTTCATTATGAGTATCTATTTTTTATAATGTAATTATTTGAATTAGGATATTGTTAAACTCAAAAATATTAGAATGATGATTATTTAACTTTTTCAAAAATTTCAACAATTAGTCACCTTTTTTTTTTTTTTTTTTTTTTTTTTTTAAATGCTGGCGTAGTCATGCCAAGTAGCTTTTATTTAATCATTAATATT